AAATGAACTCGATTATGTGTTTATTTATTTTTCGTTTAGAATTGAGATTAACAATATGATGGATTTACATGTACAACAAGAGACATTCGGAAATGACATGATTAAGGGAGATACGGCTAAAGGTAAAATCAATCGAGCATAATCTTCGAGGCAACGTACTGCCCATTGCCAAAGGATATCCACGAAGTTTCCAGATGCAATCGCCGGGGGCTGCTTTCACGACTATTAATCCGGTCTAATCTCGGGTAATCCTATTGGTATATATGTGTGTATATACATATATATATGCGTTGACAAAGATACGGAAAGAGGAAAAGATACTTGCCTCCGCCGGTGGTTTTCCGGCGCTGCTTATACATTCGATCACCAGCTCGCGATCTTCGGTGGTGACGAGGAAGTCACCCTGTAAGATCTTCGGCTTTTGCGGTGGTACTAGTACGCTCAGCTTGGCAAATCTCGATCGTAAAGCCGGCTGTCCGTCGTTTGTCGGCGAAGCCTGACATTGATACGTGCCGTCGTCCTCGAGTTCCACCGGATATATGTGCAGCGAAAAATCACCTGCAAGCAGAAAAAAAATATAATCAATAAATATTGAAGTCTAACAGATTTTACATGATATTAAATATTGATATTAAATTTTTCATGAGCTTTCGCTGGAATTAAAATTGCGTTCAACTAATATTATTATTATACTTTAACATGGTTTGAGATTTTATCCGAAAACTATAATAAATAGAGGTAAAGCGTTTATCATTGTGGGGAAAGCCATCTAAAAATATAGCCAGATAAATGAATAAGATATTCAATAAAAAAAAGCGCAAATAACAAAAATATAGATTTACAAATGAATGATATAAAAATACCTATATCCAAAAAAAGTACATAAAATAAAATAAATGATATAAAGATAACGACAAAAATTGAGCAAGAACATAAAGAATATAACTAATAATATGATAATAAAGTTGTAAGTAAAGAACGAAGAACAAGTATAATAATGAGGAAAATTGTACTAAACAATGTCTCTTTAAATATATATATTCGTCGAAAAAAATCGATCCCAAATTGAGGAAAGGATTTATCATTGAAATACAATACGAAGTGGAAATAATCTCTACATTATATGGATACTCTCTGAATTGTAGACAATGGAGGAGAGATCGAAAAAACGATATTCAACTGCAGCGGAATATGTCAGTCGCTTATAGCATCGCGTCGGAACGCAGATATGGAATTTATCACGGCGCGGTTTTATTTTAAATTCGTCGCGTATTCACGTAAACTGTCAGGCACCATCCAGCTTGATAACTACCATCGACGAATTAGAGCCAGCTCATCCTACTGTGAGGAAGAGTCTCTCTCTCTCTCTCTCTCTCTCTCTCTCTCTCTCTCTCTCTCCCCCCTTCCCCTCCTCTTTTCCCACATCCATTCTTCATCTCTCTTTTTCTTTTCTCTTCCCAATGATTTTCAACCACCGTCACTACTACCGATTCCCTCGTCAAATCGCGAGAATATACGCATTGTCTGTCGAGCGAAAGTGGCGTCGTCGCTCAAAAGTATCGCAAGCTCGTCGATTCACGCCGAGTCGCATCACGTATCACGGTAACGTATCGCGCTCGAATAAATCCGCGTCGCCTGTACAATTTATCCCCCTTTCTGTGTGTGCCGTTCCTTTCTTTCGCATTGGCACTTTTTTTTCTCCATCATCCCGTTCGATCATCCTCTTGGTTCTTCTCGCAGATCGATGTCACGCATGCATCCCAATGCATATAACATTACGCTTCTCGGATCCGCGAACGGAACAAAGTGAACGAGACGAAGGCGACATTCCGCGTACATGATGCGATGGTCGAAGGGACAGCTCATGGTCAGACGGTAGAAAAATGTAATTGTCAGTCTCCGTGCATGCGTGCGACGAGAAATAATTTCTACAATAAATTGCACCTTCACGATAAAGTTGGCTGACAACGGCGGCGCGTCCGACCGAGGACGCACTAAGGACACTTTCCGCCTAGGTGTCAGCCCAAATTTACTGCCTTTATATGTGAAATATAAAATTCCGCGGAAAATATGAAGCAAGTTGATAAATGTATCCCGAGACGATAATATCATTTCTGGGAAATTATTAATTTCTTTTTGATACAACTGATAAATATATTATATAAGCGATAAAAAATATTACAAGCTGTAGACGAGAAGATGAAAGTTATCTGAGAATATTAAATTTATATATAAATTTTATAGTTGTTTAAAGATCATATTATAGAATTTAGTAAATATTCAGGAAATTATTTTTATATTACAAAATTAATATGCAAAGTATAAAATATTAATAATTTAGAGTTTTAGATAAAATTATTATTACTTCTCTCTTTCTCTCTCCATAGCATCAACACAAGAAAAAAATGTTTTTTATTACTTAATTTGACATTCTATTTGGCACCTGCATTATAGAGTACTACAGAGTATGAAACTCTATAAATGATTTTTTATTTATTCTCTGTTAGGACGGTATGTCCCTTGATTGTCGCGCTTCTGTTCAAAGCTACGGTGGCTTATGCCCGATGAAACGTGTATGAGCCGCTCGTAATACCGCGCGTTTCAGCCGTTAAACGTCAGGGCGTTATCGAAAATAATTTCCATGGGAAATTTTGTGTGGTACAGTGTGGGATGACGCGAAAAGCTTCGCCGAGTCACTCGTCCGTGATGGTCGCGCGAGTAAAATTGACGAGCGCCCCTGCATTAAATGATAAAGTGATTTTTTTGCATTTTTTTATATTTTATTTTGACTGCAATGGTATATTCATTTGCTATTTCCACCGATGTGTCAATGGTCGATTTATCCTTTCGAATCATACAACTTTATCGAACAGTATTATGTAAAAGTAATTTAACCCATCAACTAGCAGTTCCGAGTAAATCAAGTTTAAAATTTCGAAGAAATATTTTAAGCTATTTTTCCTGAATGGCGTGTGATATTAAATTTTACTTCAATCATTTTTTTTTTTAAATGCAAAGTTTTATATTGCCAGCTACACAACTTATACAATCCGGTTTTTTTTTCAAATTTCATGGTTTAACTTATTTTTTATATGATACCTTCCAATTAGCGTAAACCGAATAACGGAAACCGTAACCGAGCGATAAAGTGCATTCACCTATATGCACCTACATTTGTGGAAGTTAAAAGCCAATTGAAACGTACATTTTCTTGCTAACTACAATTAACGCTTCTCTCAGGATCCCCGTTGAATAAACTTTGAAACTTTGACATACAGAACATCGTCCGTAGCTTTCTGTAATACTACGATAATTACTTTCGCTAGATATAGTCAATGTTATATATCGCGATGTCAGTTAGAACGATCATCTATAATGCCCTCATAATCAGTTGAATTTACTTCGACGAACGTAACTTAGTAATTTTCGTGCCGCGAACTTTTGGCATGCTATTGTTTGCGCAGCTGGTATCGTACGACTTTCTAAAATAACTTTCTCTTAAAAGATCTACATTTTACAATTTTCTTTTATGTTAAGTTTACTCAGAATTATTTCAAAATGTTTATAATGATGAGGATATTTTGTATTTCAATTGATGGAGTTTTACTAGAAAATACTGCATTGGTTGCAAATGCAATATCGTTGAACAGTGTTTTTCAATCAAGCTTTTTCACAAGCTCGATAAATCTACGTTTTCGATATTTTCGTTTTACATTTAGGTCCTCTCAAGATCACAGCAAAATAATATATTACATAACGATAACATAAATATACATTAGATGTCCTATTAAAAAAATTGAAATATATATAATATCTCAAAGATGCTAACAGAAATTGTTTTATTATTAAATTATATTTTCTTTCATTTTTTAATTTTTATATTTACTTACATATATGCGTTGTTTATTCTTTTATATCTTATGTTTCATTTTCTTTATTACTTTTATTGGTAATAATTTTATTCGGAAGATGGAAGGTTCCATATTCCGTATGGTGAATAGCCGACCGGATGAATGATGGTGACAACTTCTTATTTACAAAATGTTAACGCACGTCGGTGTTACCGGGTTAGGAAGTTTTACGGAAGAGATCCTTGAATACTACACACCTGCGCGTCAAGTAAAGTTTGTTGCATTAAGCGTGAAAAATTATAATGCCAGAAAACTTTGACGTCAGACAGAAGTGAAGTGAACTCTGATTATATTAAAACTCCTCACCGAATTTTTTGAATAATGAATCGTCACGGATATTCGATTAAAAAATTATAAAAACTCTCAAAACTTTCGTAATTATAGAATGTCGCCCGTTTTGATCGCAATAAACTTATCTGATATTTAATTTCCGTGAGATATTTTATAACAATTACGTTTTATTGTGGCAACGTCAAGCAACTGTTTGATATAGCGTTTAGAATTCAAGTCTTCGTGAGACACAATTTGAGAACATTTCCGATGTAAGGGTCTGACATAAAAGTCGGACAAAGAAGAAAGGATCTTTTGACAAGCAAAGGTACGAGAAGAGCCATGAAGACTTACTCAATGCGGTGGAACAATACATTGCGAGCAATTAATTAACTCCTGCGTTGTCCGCTCCGCTACAAACAGCCATAATTAATTTTAATTACACGAGTCAAGAAATGAACATTGTATCATAAACCGTTACGATTAATTACAATTTGTTACTGTTAACTGTTAACAGAGAGTACAATACTACAGTGCATTTTAACCGACCAAAAATCGTGAAAATCAATATTTAGCTATTTACAGGCTTTGACAGACATAACGATAACACGAGAACAAATAAGAAAAGGATGAATCGTGAGACTAAAAAGGGAATTAATGTTTCTGAATTAATGTATATTTAATGTATTTGCTACTGGTAAATATATTTACTGAAGTAAAATGTTTTTGATAATATTAATATTACAATATACGATTGTGATGAACCCGTCTACGGTATATCGTTTGGTTCTATCTCGCGAAATATTGCAACATAAGAACATTCTTCTTAAGCACTGGGGTCGGCTTTGCTCATTAATATCAGTTGAATTTTACAAATACGATTCTCAGCGTTGAGAACGTAGCAAGCCCAAAGTTTGCACAGCAGAGAATTTCACCCTTCCGGATGCATAATTTATGCGGGTACTCGGCTTTCTCCGTTGCCAGACTTGGACATTTTATGCTTCAAAGAGCATAAAAATGGCGACGGTTTAAAAAATTCCCAACCTGTTCCGACGTCCGCAATTTTGTTATGTCGAAATTGAGATTGTCGTTTTAAAAAAATTGCGCATGAGACACGCGTATACATATCTCGGGAGAAGGTTATGCAGTATAATATTTGTAACTTGAATACTAAAAAAACGGTATATTGCGACTGAGAAACTCATACTAAGAATAACAGCGGAGAATACGGCAAACAGATTTTTCCCGAAGGAACGTTGAGAAAGAAAATATATTTGGATACTAAAACGCTTTCAAAAGATGCGATATGTTGGCGGTAGATATGAATTTTCAGCAATATAAACGAAAAAATACCGAGTGTTACGAAATTCGAGAATC